GACTCCATTGGTTAAAGTTTCAGTGAAGGGACATGAGGACCTGAGTTTGACCTCTAGCACTCCCAAATGTATCTGTGACCTCAGTGCTGGGGAGGTGGGTATCTGAGGCTTGCTGTCTAGCCGGCCTAGCTCAATCAATGAGCTCCTGGTTCAGTGAGAGGACCTTGCATCAAAAGCAAGACCACTATACAGTAGTACACACACACCACACACATGCACAACACATACACCAACACAAAAGAACATTCCTGCTAACCATGTCTTTTACAAGGCCTAAGAGATGGCTCAGCGGCATGAAGGCCTAACGAGCTAAGATCAATACTGGAACCCACTACCCTCCTCCACAACAATAAATCCTGAAAATGTCTTCTAAGAGCTTGTGAAAGGCATGTCTGGAGGCATGAACCTGTAACCCTAGCACTTGAAAGGTGGAAGTAAGAGAGTTTTAAGGCCAGAAAGTATTGCATGAGACCTAGTCTCAAAAAAAAAAAAACAAAAACAAAAAAACAAAACAACAACAACAAAAAAAAAACAAATAAAAAAGCAAACAAGCTCAAAGAAGACCCCACAATGTGCAATAAGGCCGAATGCTTGCTTTACACAGGTTGACAAGCTGCTCAGGGGGCTGCAGAGATTCCATCTAGGAAGGGAAGCTTCCCTTTGTTCCCACTGCTGCTCTCCTGAGTGTTCTCAGCCTCTGAAGAAACAAGTTCTGAAAGCAAACTGCTCATGTTCCACGGAAGAGGGGAGCATGGGACCTCCTGACCTATAAAACCCAATATTCTGGCATATCCATAATCCCCTACTTTGGGCTGGTCAGCTGGAGACTCCCTTCAGCAAGCCACCCGCTGGAGTCAAGCTGTCATTCCTAAGAGCTGACAAGGACAGAACCAAGCGCACTCTGCTGAAGAAAGTCTCCACTTGAGCTGGCATTTCAATCTGCTGGAAGAGACAGATGGAGGGGATGACAGGAAAAGTGATTATTTCTTCTGGGCTTCCTCTCTGTCTGGATTCTAAGGAGACAACACAAAATTCCATCACAGACTGAAATGCGATCTAAACATTCTTAAAAATGTGATCTTGCTCTCTGAAACATGAGCTGCCCGGCTGACAACCTGTGACCCGTTTCCAAGGGAAGGTGGGGAGAGGCATTCCTGAGGCCTACCCCTTCTGGGGCTTGCTCCCCATTGCTCCCCCATGCTGCTCTTTCATGTCTCACAAGTTAAAACGTAAGCAGCTAGGACATGTACAGACATAGCATGACCCAACAAGAAGTTCCGATGAATCACCAGCTCTCTTTTCATGTTCTGAGGACCTTCAACACCTGGGACTCTCCCAAGTGTTTTAAGGTTTCTGCAAGCCCTTCTAAATGTAGGCTGAATCACAAAATACAGCAGTGCTATTCCAAGCAGCAGTAAACTGGGCCTATTCACACACAAACCATGGGCTGGATATGCAACTTGGTGATAGAACTATGCACAGTTGCCTAGCATTCAGGAAACCCCAGTCTTATCCCGAGCACTGAATACCCCTCACCAAATCAAACTTTATACCACCTAAAGCATGACTAAAATGAAGCTTTTGCAGCCAAGGGCAAAAGTGTTTGTCTATTCGCAATGAATGATCTAAGACATACCAAATGTTCACTGCAGTTGCATGAAAGACTGCCTGGACTCAAGTGTAAGATGAAAACGACGGTTCCTGCTTTCAAGGAGCCTACAAAAGAGCCAAGGGGCCGAGAGCTATTCATTAGTAAGTTAAGGGAGACCACGGACTCAGGAGGCCAGGCACAGCGGAGGGCTGGGGGTGACAAGTGACAAGCAGAAGTACACACATCTGTTTCTCCTCTGCAGATGAAGAGAGGGTCAGATTAAGGTCAAGTCTCCGTGGGCCCAAAATTCTGAATCCTTTGGTGTTTTTCAGATGGGATAAATAAAATAGTATGAAAAAATTAGCATTTGAGTTAGCCCTTAATGCGTAAAGTTTTGAAATTTAAAAACTGGAAGAAAGGGAGACAAAACCAAACCAAAAAAGCCCACTTCAGGCCTTAGTAGTGAGAAGTGATTATTGATCTGACAGGTCTGGATTCCCTGCTGAGAGGCAAACTTGAGAGGGATTGTCTAGATCAGACTAATAAACCAGGAAGACCCACCCTAAATTCTATGGGCTGCGGTGCTAAACTGAATAGAATAGAAACTGAACTCAGTAACAGCACTGACCCCTCTCTGCCTGACTGTGGATGCAGTGTGACTCAGTTCCTGCTGCTGTGGCTTCTGGGTCAGGATGGACTGGATCCCCTCCGACTGGAGTCAGAATAATCCCTTCCTCCCTTAAATTGTTCCCTGTTGGGTGTTTCGCCACAGTAGTGATAATGAACACAGGACCAGAGAACTACACAGGCATGGGTCAGAAAGCAGGCGGCATGTGGCAGAGCAGGAAGTTTTCCTTGCTTAGAACAAAGGAAGAGACAGAGTTGGAAAAGTCGACGGCAGCCTCAAGCAGCAAGTAAGGGAACGTGCCCGACTTCACTGGCATGTCAGAAGATAGCGTGTTCTGAGAGGCCAATGCCACGACCAGACATGAGAAATGGAAGCTAATCAGCACAATGAGGGAACCTTCCTCCTCTCTATACTTCTAAGGTCCTATTTACATGGGACCTGATAGACGAGAACAAAGTAGTAAACACTAAGATCCTGGGAGAGTCCAGGAAACAGGATGTCTTAAGGAGTTAACACAGCAAAAGACTGCGGTGATGAGAAAAAGGATGAAGACGGGCTACATGCTGACAGAAAACAGAAGAGTATGTCAAGAGGGAAAAGAATGACAGCCATAAAATGTAGGAAAGCAGAAATGGATAAAACTAACAATGGGGCTGGGGCAATGGCTCAACAGGTAAGGTACTTGGTTCTCAGGCATGAGGACCTGTGTTCAGTCCCCAGCACCCATGGAAAAGCCAGGTGCAGCAATGCACACTTGCCATCCCCGCACTGGGGGTGCAGAGACAGAAGGATCTGTGCGGGCTTGCTGGCCAGTTTAGTCAATTGGTGAGCTCAAGGTTCCGTGAGCTGCTCTGCCACACAAGGGGGCTGGAAGATGGCTCAGCGGTTAGGAGCACTTAATGCTCTTGAAGAGGACCCAAGAAGCTGGCAAACACGGCTCTGACAGGTCTTGCCCTTCTCTCCCATCCCCTCTGCCTGTTTTAGATAGTTAGGTTACATTCCTGGAGCTAGTCCCTTCTTTGGCCACTTCCTTCTTCTGAGGCTAACTACCAAGGTCCAGCAATCAATGTATTGAAGTCCAGCAATCAAAAGCCCCCTTCAACTCATTTAATTAAAGTACCCAATCAAAATTAAACACTTCATCCTGACACGGGGCTTCCCATTTTACCTTTATAAACCACCATTTGCCTATGGGCTAAGTCTGTCTCCTCTCTATCCAGACAGTTCTTTGTCTTTCAGGACAAATACCCCTGCCCTGTCTCTCTTGTTCCCTTCCCCTTCTCCCTTGTCCTCTATCTCCTGTTTTTGTCTCGTTTCCTGCCCTCTGTCCCTCTGGGACAAATAAATCTTAGTGCTGAGAACTTGGTTGTGGGGGTCTGGAGCTGATACTCTTTCTTTCACTGAGTCCAGTTTCTAGCACCCATCTGGTGGCTTACAACCATCTGTAGCTCCATTCAAGGGGTTGACACCCTCTTTTGACCGACACATGTGCACCAGGTACATACATGATGCACATACGTGAGGCAAAACATTCATGCACATAAAATAAAAATATAAAAAACTTCAAATAAATAAAAAGCAACAATAACAACAACAACAACAAAACCAACTAAAAAATGTAAGAGTCAAGACACCTTTGAGGGCTGGAGAGATGGCTCAGTGGTTAAGAGCATTTCCTGCTCTTTCAAAGGTCCTGAGTTCAACTCCCAGCAACCACATGGTGGCTCACAACCATCTGTAATGAGATCTGGTGCCCTCTTCTGGCCTGCAGGCATACATGCAGACAGAATATTGTATACATAATAAATAAATATTAAAAAAAAAAAAGACACCTTTGAGCCCTTAGCAGCAGGAACGGGGGTGTTGCCGCTGAGGAAATGTGTACCTAGAATAGGACCCTGTCTTACACTCTAACCCTGAGCAGTCTAAGAGCTGTTTTCAGAAGTTGTACTACACTATACTGTACTATAAACTGTCACAGAGCTGGTCACGGCAGGCCGCAGTGGGAGGACTGGGAGTTTGAGGCCAGCCTCGGCGATACAGTTAACACTGTCTCAAAATCACCAAGGACTGGGCCGTGGCTCAGTGATCTAGTGTGCACAAGGCCCTGAGTTTGATCCCCAGTGCTACAAAAAGCTGAGGAGGACAAACGAGAGGAGTGGACATCCCAACAGTGCACGGCTGACACCGCAGAGGGGAAAGGCGCTCTCAGCACTGCTGCCATGACGGCCACCTCTGACATACAGACTCCAGTAACATCTGCCCTTGGGAGGGAAGAGTACCTCCTCTCCACAGGCTTCTTCCCCCCCTCACCCCCTCACAACAGTCGTCTGTAGTGAGGAGGAAGGAACTACACCACACTGAAATAAATGAACGTAGCCCTGCTGGATGGTGGGACAGGCATGAGGAACCATGGCTGCCTCACATCAACATCCGCAGCAATCAAACTAACAGACAAAAGCAGGGGCTAGAGGTAGGCCCAGGACATAGGGCATGTCATGTCTGTGAGGGTGAAAAACTAGGACCCTTCCGTTTGTCCATTATAGCCTGCAGGTTGCTGTTCCTGAGTGAGCTGTGTATTAATACATGGTCTGGTCTGGAGGACACTGAGTGAGAGATCATGGCTGGCCTGGAGATACTACCCTTGTCATGGTGAGGCTTCCTGCTATATATGGACAGACTAATAAAGTGCAAACAAACTGAGCAACATTTTGGTCACGTGGGGTTTTAGTCTCTATGAAATTGAGGATGGTAACTAATGCAAAGGGATGCGTCACTTACTTGCCTTCCATCCTGCCCCACATTTGTCTGACCTCTTACAACAGTCCGGATATTGTCATCCAGTCTCCTGGGGAAAACAAAGGTAGGATACAAGTCATTCAAACAAACTCAACTCTGGGTAAACCAAAAGAAACAGAAAATCAGTAATTCACTCATCAACTTTCGCTGATTGCAACTATTTAACACAGGAAACCACACGAGCACAGGCAACAGAAGAATGAGGCCTCAGACCAGGGGGCACCACAATACAAGAAGTCACCACAAGTGCAGACTTAGGATTATCTTTGCTTAAAAACTGGTGAGTGAGTTCATATTCAGAAGCTGGCTGAAAGGACCGATAAAACTCTAAATGGTTTTTCACAGAGTAAATCAGCAATGACAAAGTTACAGATGTTTTAGAGAAATAAGCTAGCAAATTCAAATTAGCAACCGCAAAATCCCTGCTTTGGTGACCTTAAAGCAGTAAAGAGCTGGTGTAATTCATGCAATCAGTGCTTGGTCTTCATGCCCTGATGTGCAGCCTGTCAGAGGCAGATCTATGGCTTCCGGGATGTCTTTTCCCAGGGGCTCAGCAAGGGCTTCTGCGTGGCGCCTCCACCAGAGGAATTTCTATCAGCCGGTTTCATTTTGCACTTGAGGAATCTATTTAAGGTATGGTAGCAGGAATGCAGGAAATAGCTAGCTGACAGGGCTCTCTGGATTGCCAGGATGTTTCTACTTTCTATATAAACTCTGGTAACTTTGAGGTCTCTTCTAGTCATTACAGCTGAAGCCAACAAAACAAGGCTTTTTTTTTTTTNACAGGGCTCTCTGGATTGCCAGGATGTTTCTACTTTCTATATAAACTCTGGTAACTTTGAGGTCTCTTCTAGTCATTACAGCTGAAGCCAACAAAACAAGGCTTTTTTTTTTTTTAAATTTACTTATTTTATTATTTTATGTGTGTGAATGTTTTGCCTGCATGTATGTATGTGTACCATGTGCAAACCTAGTGCATTTAGAGGTCAGAAGGTGTCAGATCCCTGGGACTGGAATTACAGATGGTTGTGAGTAGCAATGTGGATACTGGTAACCAAACCCAGGTCCTCTGCAAGAGCAACAATTGATCTTAACCCCTGAGCCTTCTCTCTAACTTACCCTGTGTTTCCTAAGGCACCACTAGGACAATACATTTATAGGTCAGTGCCCTATACTGAAAGATCTAAAGAATGTTAGGAAAACAAACTTATCTTCCAGACTCAAAATGAATGTTTTCCATTTTCAAAATGAGTTTTCTCACCAAAAATCAAACACAAATAAGATGGACGTGGTGGCACACACCTTAATTCCAGCATTCGGGAGGCAGAAGCAGGCAGAAGAAGCAGGCAGTGCTCTGAATTGGTCTACAGAGTGAGTTCCAGTACAGCCAGGGACTTCACAGAAAGATCTTGTCTCAATTAAAAAAAAAAATCTCCAAAATATATTTGAAGCATACTTAGATAATGAAAATACAAATTCCTAAACCTAGACCTGGATAAGCCAGAACAAGACCACTGGGCAGGAAGAACCTGATGATAACATGGACAGTCTTTAATTCTGGACCACATTCAAGTCAACCGGCAAATCCAGTACCACTGTTCCGGGTAACTAACAGGTATAACCCCATCTCCAATTCTGAGTCATAGCACTACAAAAGGTAGGCCTAGTAAAGAATAAAACTATTAAATATTGTAGAAAAGTTGTTGCCTCCTTTGAAAGTTAACTTTTTCTTCTCCTCCTCCACCTCCTCCTCTTCTTCTTCTTCTTCTTCTTCTTCTTCTTCTTCTTCTTCTTCTTCTTCTTCTTCCTTCCTTCCTTCCTTCCTTCCTTCCTTCCTTCCTTCCTTCCTTCCTCCTCCTCCTCCTTCTCCTCCTCCTCCTTCTTTTTTTTTTTTTATTTTGATAAGGTCTCATGTATCCCAGGCAGGTCTCAAACCTTGAACTTCTGACTGTCTCGCCTCTAGCTCCCACATGCTAGGACTAGAGGTGTGTGCACCCACTCCTGGTTTATGGGTTTGTGGCATGCTTAGGACTAAATCCAGGGCTTCATGGATGCCGGGTTAGCACTCTACTGAATTACATCGCCAGCCCTGATGAACTGATTTGTTTCGTTTTGTTTTAAAACAGGGTCTCACTGTATGGTCCTGGCTGGCTGGGAACTCCCTATATAAAACAGGGTGACCTGGATCTCAGAGATCCCCTTGGGTTTACTCCCAAGTGCTGGGGTGAAAGGTGTGCACCGTCACAGCCTGTCTGAGGACCACTTTTTTAACAGTCTGTTCCAGTTTCCTTCACTGTGTGTGGGAAGTTAAACCCTGGCCAAAGAGCTGAGCTCCTTGCCATAGAGTTTGCATGAAAACCACAAGAAATGATTATTTTTAAATTTGAGATTTTAGAGCTTTCATCAAAAAATGTGATTCAGATATGAATAAATTAACATGCTTTTTTAATTAACAATCATATGGTGTTACTTACCTTATTTTCAGTCTAATTTTGTTCACGACATCGTCTATGTTTGCCAGAGACTACAATGAAGAAAAAAGAGTGCTGGCTGTTAGTCTACTTCCTGGGGTTCTCTTTCACAGGGAAATAATGATACCTCAAAGTTTAATCTTGATCCTACATTTAATTCTTTAAAAAAATCATCCTATTTTAAAAATTGACTTTGGTTTTGTGTATCTGTGCACATGTGTGTATGTACACATGCATGTTTGCACAGCCTGTGAGCACACAGATGTGCAGTCTTCCTCAGTCATTCTCCACCTTACACGTTGAGGCAAGGTCTCTCACTGGACCCAGAGCTCAGCAATTCATCTAGTCTTCCCTTCTAGCTTGCTCTGGAGACCCCTGTCTCCACCTCCTGAGTGTTGAGATTACTGCCATGCTCAGTGTCTACATGAGTTCCAGGACAGACAGCGTGGCAAGAGAAACCCTGTCTCAAACAAACAAACAAATGACATACCTCTCTATAATACGTTACCCTTCACTAAAAAAAATAAGTTATTTTTATGGATGTATATGTGTTAGGAAAATGTCTGGAAAACCATATACTGTAACATGCCAGTGGATGGAATCTAGAAAATATGAATTAGTAGCTTAAGGGAAGGAATAATTTCAATGTTTCTTCTTTTTGCCTCTAAGTATTTGCCTACATTCTAATTCAGTTAGAATGACTGTCACAGAATAGTAAAACAAATGGACCTAGAGAGAAAATGTGGTGCAGTGGTGCCCCCTGGTGGAAGATGGAAAGGACAGCAATTTTCTAATTTCCCTTTCTTCTCCAACAGAAACTTTCTCAGGAGGAACTATGCTTATAAATTGCTTCTGGCTCTCTGCTGACAGGAGGAAGCCAGAAGCCTTCCAGGAACAGACCTGAGGCGCCACAGTAGTCTATCCACATCTCTCCTTTTAAGCCAAGGTTTACTCTCAACTTTCAGAAATCCAAGAGCAGTCAGAGAGAGAAGGTGAAATTCAGAAAAGAAAAGCTGCTTTAAATGGGCAATCCAAGGCAATGGGGGTGAGTTTAATCCTATTGTTAGGTTCATCCCCTCAAACTGGGATGTTTGTGACTGGGTGTGATTTAAATCATCATCACTGTAGGAACAGCCAATGAGTTGCCCAGGACCTCGTGCCTGGCCCACCTCTGCCACTGCTAACTCGCTAAAGGGAAGCTCTTCAACCTCCCTGAGTTTCTAAAAGGAAAAAAAAATGGGTATAACAGTTCCTGGCCTACTAACTCCGCTGGAACCCACTCTTAAAACAACAACAATGACTGTCTCTTGAGTGCTGGGATTAGGTGTGCATATATTCTTTAAAATATTTTTATATTTTAATATAATATACCATATTATATAAAATATATACTATATTATATTCAGTATATATTCTTTCTATTATGTTTTAAAATGTTACTGTACATCTGCATAATTATCTTGGGTGATTCTTAGAAAACAATGCTGTAGTTTAACCAAGACCTTCTTGTCTAAGGACTATCACATTCAAGAAATATGTATAGTCTTTAAAATATTTTGTAGGGGTGGGGGGAACTGGAGAGATAGCTCATCAGTTAGGTGCCCTTGCTGTTCTTCCAGAAGACCTGAATTCAGTTCCCAGCACCATGTCAGGCACCTCATAACAGTCTGTAAATCCGGCTCAAGGAACTCTGACAACCGCTTCTGACCACTGCAGGCACCGAGCACACATAATATACACAGAGACACACATACATGTATAAATAAAAAATAAACAATATTAAATTTATTTGTGTGCGCATGTGGACATACGCACAAGTACCATGGCTTAAGTGTAAAGGTCAAAGGACAGTTTGTGAGTCTGTTCTCTTCTGTTATGTGGGTCCTCAGACTTAGTGGCAGGTGTCCTTCCCTGCTGAGCCTTCTCACCAGTCCATGTATATAATCTCTTCTCTTCTCTTCCTCTGTCTCTCTCTCTCTCTCTCTCTCTCTCTCTCTCTCACACACACACACACACACACACACACACAAGTTTTAAAAAATGTTTTAAAACCTGGTTGTGGTAGTGTATGCCTTTAATCCCAGCACTCAAGAGACAGAGGCAGGAATATCTCTGTGAGTTCAAGGCCAGCCTGGTCTACAAATCCTGTTCTAGGACAGTCAAGGTTGTTACACAGAGAAATTCTATCTCAAAAAAAAAAAAACCACTACCAACAACAATTTATGTTAGTACTAAGGGGCTGGAGAGATGGCTTGTGATTAAGAGCACTGGCTGCTCTTGCAGAGGACCCAGATTTGGTTCCCAGCATCCACACTGGTGGCTCCCCACATCTGTAGCTCTAGTTCCAGGGGATCCCACACCCTCTCTCAATACTGTCTTCTGGGTTCTGACACATGTAGTGTACTTACATGCAGGCATAACACATATACATAAAATAAAAATGTTTTTAATTAGTATTTAAGAAATCTGAATGATGGCAGTTAGGAATTTGTCATCACACCTTTCTAAATCAGGGACACTACCAAAATTAATATGGTTTATATACTCATGTATAATTATGTATATGGTGGATAAAATTATACATTATAAAATTGTTTTAATTACAAATATAAAACATTTATAAGGTATTTAAAATTGTTAAACATATACATGACCAAAAATCTAGACGGTAAGAGCATGCAGTGAATGCAGGCTTCCGCTTGCCCTGTGCTGCCCGACCGCAGCTTCTCCACTTTCGCAGTCTGAGTAAAGAGCACAGGGTAGACTGCTCCGCGCCTTTTCACTCAGCCACGTGCTGGGAGGACACTCCACACCAGTGATACTGACTGCACCGCAGTGCATTTCTTGAATTTGATAGTCCTGAGACAGGAAGGTCTTGGTTAAACCATAACACTGTTTTCTAAGAGTCACCCAAAATAATTATGCAGGTGTACACCTGCATTTTAAAATCAGAGGGCTCAGCAGGCAAAAGAACTTGCTGTGCAAGCCTGCCAAGTGTGATTCCCAGCCCCTCCAGTGGATGGGGAGAATGAACTCCAAAAGCTGTCCTCTGACCTCCAGGAGCACACTGGAGCAAATAAGCCTGCACACACACGCATACAAAAATAAATAAACAGCAAAGACCTGGAGACAAGGCCCATTGACAGGAAAAAGATTAGGTCATAAGGGCATATTTATCTGATGGCCCTTCTGCCATCCCTAGAAACACTGGACAGGCAGGTTAGAAGACAACAAGGACCTGGCAGTCCACGGTCATCAAAAGAACAGAAAAGAGGAGCCAGGGCATTGCTCAGTGGTAGAGCACTTGGCTAGCATGCATGAAGTCCTAGATTCAATCCCTAATTCTCCCGCCCCCTTTCTCTGTCACTCACTCAAAAAGATCCTACACTTCATTAGCTGATAAACTCACAGTCTTCCTATGAACAGGCATGAGGGAGAGGAAAGAGTGCTAACCTTTAGTGTGGTCACTTCACAGAAATTCTTTTCCTTAACCCCCTGAGCTGTATGAGGCACACAATCCTCCTCCAGGTTGGTTAATAAAATTCAGGAAGTCGATCTGACAGGACAGATCTTTGTCTAAAGTTGTGGAGATCTGATTCTATTCACTGTTCATACATATCTACATCAATATTTAGATACCAATAGATCGGATAGACAGGCAGACAGATCCATCCTTGGGCTTGTTTTAGGTGCTGGTGCCTGGTGCACACTGAGCTACACCCCCAAGGCATGCTACCTAGGTGCACTGATTGCCCTTCCTTTCCACCAGTGTGTGAGGGAGCTGACAAGCCCCAAGTTCAGCACAGCCTTCAATGACGTGGGAGTCTTCCCTGGAGCTGGAGGAAAGGCCCGAGGGAATGCAGCGACTGCACACATCACTGGAAGATATACATCTTCTCTGACCATTCATCTGGTTTGATGGTAATGGGGTTGTACTGCTGAATGTATCCATTACTGAAACGCATTTCCTTCATTCTGATAATCCAGGAAAATGGCCGTTTCCTTGGGAAGGTGTACTTGCTGTGCGTATTCCGTCCTGCTCTTCTTTCTAGGAAAACTGATGCTTTAAGATACGAATCCGGGGAACTTGTCACCTGGGGTTTGTTTGTTCTTTTTTTTTTTTTTTCCTTTTCTCTTTTTCTTGATAACAAAGACTCAGAGCATCTTGAGATCAGTAAAACTTCTCTTTTTGTAATTATTTTTTTAGACATGATTTTGCCATTAGACAAGGCTGGCCTTAAATTCATGACCCTCCTACAGTAGGGTTCCAGGTGTGTACCAGAGTTAAAATGTCAAAAAAGTTTGTTTATTTGGTTTCTTTATTTAATGTGTCTGCATCTTCAGATAAACTTCTCTCCTCCAGCCCCACCAAATTAGGCAGAGGAAGCACTTTTACTGAGTAAATGAATGAATGCCTTTTACCTACATAGGCCTCTACTTAATCCCTTCACGCACACACTGGGCAGCTCCATGTCAGGTTGTGATCTCTCCATCCAGCCTCTTCACGAGGCTCTCAGCATCTCTGATGGTCTCTGCATCACTCCTCACTTGTCCTCCGGCTCCTCCTGTAGAATGACCTGCTTCCCTGTCTTCCTGCCTTTACCTCTGGCTAGAGCAGTGTTTCACTAGACTGCCACAGGCCTGCTCCTCTGTCTCTTAGGTCTCGGTGTAAGAGGAGCCGCCTCAGAGCTAGCCTTCCTTTAGGCTCTTTTAAAAGGCCCCGTCCATGCCACCATGTTTGGCAGCTACACTTGCTCCCAGCAGATCGTCAGCCATACTGGATCACTTCTTGTTGATTTATTCCTTGTCTTCCTTCCCACACTGCACCCCGTGAGACCAGAACTAACGTGCATGTTGCCCATTTCTCTCTAGTTTCTTAAACAGTCTCCAGTACCTAGCGTACTCCATAAATGACTGGGAGTTGGGCTGGCTGGCTGAATAAATGAACCCTTCGAGTAACGGCTGACAGCTCCTGGTTCTGATCTTCCTAAGAAAGCTCTTGACTCTGCACCACACTCCAGTGTCCCTTCCACTTTGATCACACACACCTCGGTGGCAACGATGCGTTCCCGTGCCCAGAACAGTGACTGACAGCACATGACAGCTGCCCCAGTAAACATCTGCTTAGTGAAGAAACGAAAAACCCAAAGTCATCTGTCACCCAGTGCCAGTGAGGCAGAGGCAACAGGAGCATTCTGGCTATACAGTGAAGACCATGCTGGGCTATATTAGACCCTGTCTAGAAAGAAAGAGAGAAAAAGGATGGCAGGAAGGAAGAAGGGAGGGAGAGAAGGTGGGCGGGTGGGCCAAAGTCTACCTGGTCTTCCCTAAATTTTCTGGCTTCTAACTCTGGATTACTGTAAGAAAACCCCATCTAGGCAAATCACACAAGAAAATATAAGCAAAATGTCTACAACTTTACATTTTAAATGTTGCTTTGTAAGTTGGAATTTATCCTGCCTGCCTTGCTCCCACTTTTCCCTCCTATAAGTCCCCAATTTATAACACAGACTTCAGTGAGGGCTGAGGGTGCCAAACTTCTCAAACTATGCTCAGCAAACAAAGAACCCCATGCTACTTGGCTAATTGACCCAGTTAGTTACACCTGAACTTAAGTGATTTGAACTTAATGTTATTTGTTTATCACACCAATCACAACACACAAAGCCATCAGGAAGAAGGAAAACCTAAAGCTGTTTACTTACTTGCTCTGTTGGAAACAGAGTATTGATGTACTCAACGGCATTGAAGTCAGCTTGATCAAGAGGATCCTGGCTTGGAAATACCTACGTAATAACAGAAGGGTATTGATTAAAACCATGTTGGACACCACAGATAAGCACAGGTCTATTTGGGCTTTTTTCGTTTTGGTTTTTGTTCCAATTAGAAGGAACAGGACCAGCAAGATGACTCAGGAGCAAAAGTACTAGTCAAGTAAGCCTAGCAGCCGGAGTTGGATCCCCAGAATCCAACCTCACAAAGTTGTCCTCTGACCTCCACATAAATGCTATGACATGAGCACCCACACATCACATCACGTACACACAGAGAATACTACTAAAACAAGGGAATAAAATTATAAAAATAGGGGATTCAAAATTCAATCTTTGTATTAAACAGCAGGTTCTTGAAAACAAAACAAAAACAAAATTTCACCTTTTTTTTTTTTTTAATTTTTCAAGACAGTTTCTCTGTAGCTTTGTAATCTGTCCTGGAACTTTCTCTGTAGACCAGGCTGGCCTCAAACTCACAGAGATTCACCTGTCTCTGCCTCCCAAGTGCTGGGATTAAAGGTGAGCACCACTATTGCCTGGCCCAAAATTTCCAACTTTTTCATTTTATAATGCTTCACATACAATGGATACTCAAGAAAATATGGGACACAGGTATTGAGGAAACATGAGAGGAAAAGCCACAGAAGACAGGGGCCAAGAAGCATCAAGCAGTGCCGGCAACCATCAGAAGCAAGAAGAGCCAACGCAAGAGTCTTTCTGAGTCTTCTGAGCAAGTACAGGCCTGCAGATGCTGTTTTTTTTGACACTGTTTGTTGTTTTGGTCTTTGAGAGATGAACTATGTAGTTCAGGCTACGCTGCAACTCATTATAAGGCCCAGGCTGGCCTTGAACTGGTCCTCCTTCCTGCCTTAGCCTCCCAAATACTTGGATTACAGGGGTATGCTAGAATGCCTGGCTCCTGCTAATATTTTTGATTCAATATTTCGGACTTCCAAAACTGCGACAGAAAAAAAAAGATATATACACACACACACAGTTGTATGTCAGAAGAAACCAGTTCTGGGATGAGGACACGATGACTTCATTAACACCTGCAGTGTTGGGTATTACACACGGAAGATTGCAATGTCAGCCCTCCCACAGTAGAGGACACAGAAACCCTCTCCTGGGCAGCTGCAGTCACGTGAATTTCACCGGTCACTGTTTTCTTATTTATGTCTGTGCAGTCACACGTTGTGTCACAAAGCCTGCAGCCCAAGCAAGGGGCATTCAGGCATTCAAGGTCACCGTCAGTTACACAGCAAGTCGGAAGTAGCCTGAGTGAGTTATAGGAGATTCTGGCTCAAAAAGGAAGGGAGGGAAGGAGAGAGGGAGAGAGGGAGGGAGGGAGGGAGGGAAGGAGGGAGGGAGGGAGGGAGGAAAGAAAGGACTCTCTTTTGATATAACTCTCTTTTGATATAACTCATCCAGA